TCCTGTATGAAAATTATGAAGGTAAAAAACTTTCTGCCTTTTTTAAAAAACCACTACAAAAAAATAATTGAAGATATTTTTACATAGATATACATTGCCTAAACGTTAACTTGCCTAAACAATTTTTCAGCTTGTGGTTGTACATGGAGCCAACAGATGTGAGAACATCATCTGATCCAGACAAACCAACCAGATTGGGCAGTTGAGATACAAAAGAAAATCTTACGAGGGCACTCTTAGCTTCACCCACGTTTCTTTTTTTAATCTTACCAAACACCAGTATATTTTAAAAAACAACTAGAATCCATCCGAGCAATGACCATTTCACTTGTGATCTGCAAGCTTTCTCAAGGCATCCTATCGCCGAAAAAAACTACCATTTGATGGTGCTGGAACTATGCAGGTACCACCAAATGGGAGGTTTATCAGTCACAGCTTTAAGAAAACCTTAGCAAGCTCTGGAGGAACCCTGGTTGAAAATGGTTATATTTGGGCTTTCACACAGGTGTTGAAAATAGACAGTTGGGTCCAGGGACGGACTGACAACAATAGGGGATCATGGGGCCCCTGTGTCCTCGCCCACACTCAAACCACACCCAAAAAAGCCTATGAAAGGTACCAGGGACATCTCATGGGGCCCCCTACTTACCCCGGGCCCTCGGGCAGTGCCCAAGTTCCCCAATGGTCAGTCAGCCCCTGGTTGGGTCATATTTCTAATGCTTCCCAAATGCCAGCTAAAATGGTTAAAATAGGGAGCAAAGGGAAGTGTTCACACAGCAACACTTGTGTTGCCTCGTGTTGCAGTGAGGCACAAATAACATTACCTGCAGAGTTTGGCAGGCAATGATGCTTTTCTGTTGCCTCCATTCACTCCTATTTAAACGCACCACAAGTGGGCTGTAAACACACTCTAAATGCACTTATGGCATTTACAAAACATTTAAGGTGGGTTTGCAAAGCATCAAAAATGGTCATTTCCCTCTATAGCCTTGTAAAGAAAAAAAAAAAAAGCATCTCACAGGGAGGTTGAGGACTGTTGCTTGATGCAGGTGCAACACATGTAAAACGCTCATTAACGCTATAGGTGAGTTAATACGCTTTGAAGCTGCTTTAGAATTCAATGCCTGTGTGAAAGACCCCCTAAGGGGTAAGTATACTTAAAAGAGCCCTTATACAAAACACCTGACCCTGATTAACCCATTGTTTCACATCCAAGCTGCAAACTTACTGATTTCTTGCTGGTACTGCCCTCCACAACCATATATCGGCCTGGATCTTCCTGTTGTCTGTACCTGTGCAGTAGCTCCCCATAGACTTATGTGAGATAGGTGCAGGGGGGTGCATGGCAGTAATCACACTGAGGCCCGAAGTGCAGAAAATGATGTATGGAAGGATTTTCAGAACAATACAACCGTCTGGTGGGGTGGAATGCCCATCCAGGAACTCACAGTCAATGCAGCAAAGATTCAGCAGTAGTAGGCCTGAGCTGAAGAAAGCGCTTGCCAAAGGAGGTGGAGGGCGGCGTGGCCGGTCCAACCCAAAAGGGAGCTTGAGAAGGTCTATGCATAGGCCCTACTCTTTCTCTACTCCTCTTGAATCTTTGCCTACTGCTAGTGCTGTCCCCGGCAGGCGTGTAAGCTCTCCCTATGCTAGCCACTTTGCAAATGTGTGCCATAACCTGGGAGCAGGGGCCTAAATAGACTCTGCGTGACCCATGATGGCTGCCAGGGTCACCTAAATGCAGCATAGCCAACCAGACACCTACAGTGGAGAAAGCCAATTGTATCTGCTTACACTTCTGTTGGGCTGTCTCCCAAGCCTTGGGTGTAAACTCCAAATACAAAAGGTGGGACACCCATGAAAGGTTTAGCCTTGACCCACCAATGTCTTAAGAAAGCCCTGATACTAGTGCAGGGATTTTGGCACCAAAACACCATCACCACCGCTCTTATGAGTCCCTCTTTCTGCCAGGGTCACCTAAATGCAGCATAGCCAACCAGAGTGCTGCTCCAGGAGACCAAGGGAACCATAGAGAAACCAAGTTTCTCTTGACTTTCCCTCCAGCTGCAGTTCTTCGGCCGAGCGCCACCTACAATGGAGAAAGCCAATTGTATCTGCTTACACTTCTGTAGGGCTGTCTCCCAAGCCTTGGGTGTAAACTCCAAATACAAAAGGGGGGACGCCCATGAAAGGTTTAACCTTGGCCCACCAATGTCTTAAGAAAGCCCCGATACTAGTGCAGGGTTTTCGGCACCAAAACACCATGACCACCGCTGTTATGAGTCCCTCTTTCTGCCAGGGTCACCTAAATGCAGCATTGCCAACCAGTGTGCTGCTCCAGGAGACCAAAGGAACCGTAGAGAAACCAAGTTTCTCTTGACTTTCCCTGCAGCTGCAGTTCTGCTCCGGTCGAGGGCCACCTACAGTGGAGAAAGCCAATTGTATCTGCTTACACTTCTGTTGGGCTGTCTCCCAAGCCTTGGGTGTAAACTCCAAATACAAAAGGGGGGACACCCATGAAAGGTTTAGCCTTGGCCCACCAATGTCTTAAGAAAGCCCCGATACTAGTGCAGGGTTTTCGGCACCAAAACACCATCACCACCGCAGTCCCTCTTTTTGACTTATACCAGGAATGGTGATGGAAAAGACAGACCATTCAACAAGTTATAGGGAGCTCAAGTAAGATTTAGCATTTACCAAAACTGAGAAAATAGTTTCAGATATTCCTTTAGAGGGGACTTAACTTTTTATTCTTATAAAACCCTATATGATATTCTTCAAATAGATCAGATAGCTTAATCCGATGCAAGACATTTTCTGATACACACTGTTAAAAATTGCAATTTATCAGCTGGCTAGAGTTCAACAGAAACAGTTGGTCTGATTTTCATCTGAGAATGTGGCGTACCATGTTCATTTTAGGATGTATTTCTTGCGTACCTCTGTTCTACATCAGTCTCCTAACATCTCTCATCCTTTCTAGTAAAGTCAACTTCTCCCTACTTTAAATACAAAGTGATAGTAAAGATTTTTTTTATTGCATTAAATAAAATAAAAATAAAGATTATGTATTACTTACAAGCTCTGTACAATAATAGCTAGGACAAGTAGTGGAGCATTTTTTTTTACCTAAATGCATAGAATGCATTAATGTAAAAACTTTTTTGATTTTAGAACCACTGTTTGCACTGTAGCCAAAACTTTTTTTTTTTTTATTCAGTTATAGATAGAGTAGGGAATGGTTTAAACCTGATTTTTATTATGTTGTCTGTGTACCATTAGGAAATTTGACAATCTTAATTTTCCTCATGACTATTGTCACAAATGCCAAAAGTAATGGCAAACGTTGTCACTGGAATACGGCACTACCTACAAGTCAACAGTACAAAAAAATGGCTACTGCCCCAGTCTATAAATGGCCTTCATAGCACTCTACCTGCCTAGAGTTTGCATGTTCTCCCTGTGTCTGCGTGGGTTTCCTCTGAGGATTCCCAGATGTCCTAGGGCTCTGAAGAGCAAAATCAACCTGACATGCCAATACCTGAAGGGGCATGCTAAGTGGTACCAGTGCTTACTTGCTTTAAAGTGGCTCTGACAAGCAAGAGCTTCTTAATACATCAAGCCCCACCCCAATAATAAATTATGGTATTAAAGAAAAAAGAACCTGTAGAGCAAAAAGTAAAAATACTACTTGCCTTATCCCCAACCTTTGCACTGCAGCACTATGCAGGGGCATCTTCTTGTGAGAGGTGGGCTACTCGGCTTTCTCCAGGATGTTCTGGAAGGATTGTGACATCACCCTTGCCTAGACACCACGGTTGACAGACAGTATTAAGGTAAGTATATTTATTTACTTTTTTGCTCTTTGGTTTTATTCTTTTTTTTTTTTTATATTTTTTTCTTTCATTTTTACATTAATGCCATAATTTTTTATGAGGAAGGAAGGAGGCCCTGATGAATTAAGTGGATCATGCTGGAAGGATTGTGACTTCACCCTGGCCTAGGCACCACGGTTGACAGACAGTAGTAAGGTAAGTATATGTATTTACCTTTTTGCTCTTTGTCTTTATTTTTTGAAGTTTTTTAATTTTGTTTTTACATAAATGCCACAATTTATTATGGAGGAAGGAGGCCCTTATAAATTTAGTAGATTATGCTTTTTAGATATCACCAAGAGGTTACATAGGGAAAGGTCCCAGATACTGCACACCTAACAAAGCCATGTGAAAGCAGCCTCAGCCAGCTTAATCCAAAGCCATGCCCTCAAAATGTTTCACCCCACCCACAGGGCTTAACCATGGAAGAGCTTCATAAATAGGCCCCATGGGTGGGGTGAAATGTGTTGGAGCCATGGCTTTGGATGAAGCTGGCTGAGGCTCCTTTCAAATGTTTACTAATGGCTTTGCAGGTGTGCAGTGTTTGGGACCTTTTTCTATGCATATCCAGAGTATGTATGGAGTTAGACGGACTCTTGCCCAGTCAGCACCCACTGCAGGAGACACCAGATGGGACTTACAGGAGCTTGAGCGAAGACCTTAAGTTTTATGAGATCACCAAGAAGTTGTCATTATAATCATTTTACCTGTCCCTAAATGAGCAATACTCTTCCCCTCAAGAGAATAAACATCCAGTCAGGACATTGTCCTCTCTAAAATGACCCAGGAACCCAAAGAGGTAGACACAATAGGCTTGCTAGTTTAATGTCCACCTTCCAGTACCCGCCAGTTAGCCGACACTAGAAGAAAAATTCAGCCACAAGACTGTCCTCTACATAAATCCTGCAGTGATTCATGTCATATATCATGTCATACTGTATATCATATCATGATGTATCATATAATGCAATACAATATACATAATATAATATTAATAATATAGTATACTAGAAATACTGGACACAGCTGTAGAGGTAATTGATTAGTTTTCGTATTTTGTACCTTTGTGTATGTTGACGTTGAGTCTGTGTCGCTTGTATAACTGTATTCTCTGTGTTTGTTTGGCAGTATATCGCCTTTGCTTCCCTGTTCTTCATTCTCATCTCCATCACAACGTTTTGCCTTGAGACCCACGAGGCATTCAATAAGATCATCAACAAGACTGAGACCACCACACAAAACAACGTCACCAAGACGGAGATTACACTAGAAGTGGAGACTGAACCTTTTCTCACATATGTAGAAGGCATGTGCGTGATATGGTTCACGTTTGAGTTTCTGATGCGTGTTTTGTTCTGCCCTGATAAAATGGAATTCATTAAGAGCAGCTTGAATATTATAGACTTTGTGGCCATCTTACCTTTCTACCTGGAGGTCGGCTTGAGTGGCCTGTCTTCCAAAGCAGCCAAGGATGTCCTCGGTTTTCTTCGAGTTGTCCGATTTGTCAGGATCCTGAGAATCTTTAAGCTCACTCGTCATTTTGTTGGGCTCCGAGTCCTTGGCCACACTCTACGAGCCAGTACAAATGAGTTTCTCCTCCTTATCATATTCTTGGCACTTGGGGTTTTAATTTTTGCCACCATGATATACTATGCGGAGAGGATCGGGGCAGAGCCAGGTGACATTACTGGCAGTGCACACACCAACTTCAAAAACATCCCCATAGGGTTTTGGTGGGCTGTGGTAACAATGACAACTTTGGGGTATGGGGACATGTATCCAGTGACCTGGTCAGGCATGTTGGTGGGTGCCCTATGTGCGTTGGCAGGTGTGCTAACAATTGCTATGCCAGTCCCCGTCATTGTCAACAATTTTGGAATGTACTACTCCCTAGCTATGGCTAAGCAGAAGCTACCAAAGAAAAAGAACAAACATATTCCGCGGGCACCTCAACCTGGATCACCTAATTACTGTAAACCAGACATGCAATCTCCCCATAGAAGTGCTCCAGGAGATTCCTGTCCCTTAGCTCAGGAGGAAATCATTGAGATCAACAGAGCAGGTAAGATTGTATGAATGAATAAATGAAGATAAGCAGTAAAAATACTACGTCTTGAATAGATGTGTAAATATTTTGTGTAAAATATCATGGCAAGTCATGATTCCAAAATATGATATTTCATATCTGGTTGGGTTGTAAAATCCGTTGGTTGTCTTTTTTTTTCTCTGAAAAATTATGATATGGCTGCAGTACAGCCACTTCCATTGTCATCATTAAGTCGGGAAAGATATTTTGGTTATTGCTTCCTTTTATGCAACATAGGATAAAAGGAAAGCCCAGTAGCGGGAAAGTTACACCATCATATTGGTAGTTCTGGAAGGGCTAGCAGAGAATTTCGAGATCTTACTGCCTGAATCATTAAGCTGAACTCCAGGCAAACTACTGAATACAATACTAAAATTGAGTTGTGGAACACCCACTGCTGCCTCTTCCACTTTACTGGATGCTTAGAATAATAGATTGATGGTGTCGGAACCTTAAGATAATGGTTGGTAACGTTTTAGTACTGAAAAAAAATTGATTTATCCAAGTTTATCTGATATCTAATCCTGACATCCACCTGGCGGCCCCATACACTAGTCCCTATGACTGCAGGAACCTTGATTTTTTAATGGCCCTAACTTCGAACCTGGAAAAAAAAATTCAGGCTGTTTTATTCCTGCTTTTAATTAGCACAATTTGCACACTGGAAGATTTCCAGCGACAACAATTTGCGGGTTCCTGCCCCTATAATGAGAAGTGTGGACACTCAGCAGATAAAATACATTGGGGTTCATTTACTAAAACTGGAGCACTCAGAATCTGGTTCAAATGTACATGGCAGCCAATCAGCTTCTAACTTCAGCTTGTTCAATTAAGCTTTGACAAAAAAACCTGGAAGCTGATTGGCTACCATGTATTGCTGCACCAGATTTTGCACTCTCCAGTTTTAGTAAATCAACCCCAAGGTCTACGTCCAGCCACAATCACCATTGGTAAATGCTGGCTATGAGAACATTCCCAATTTGTAGCCTGTCATTGCACTGTATGGCCGGAGAAGCTGCATCTATTCCTACTTCCCTGTCATTCCAGATGCTGGAATATGCAGATTCTTGCCACTGGAAATCATCAGTGGATGGAAGAATATGGCTGGCTATGTGGCAGGTTGTTTGTGTACAGATCTCCAGGTCTAAATATGATATATTCCAATAAGGGTGAACTTTGATGTTTCTTTATATCACCACTAATTTCTCAAAGATTCTACAATTACTACCGGTAGCAACCAGTTAGGCATTAATATTTATTTTGCACAATGTACCATCTAGAATTTGATTAGTTGTTCACTTTTCCTTTTCTACAGTTTTTCAAGATCTGTAAAAAAAAAAAACCATATACAGTATATCATACAGTATATGATATATTTCCAGCGACAACAATTTGCGGGTTCCTGCCCCTGGAATGAGAAGTGTGGCCGCTCAGCAGATAAAATATATTGGGGTTCATTTACTAAAACTGGAGCACTCAGAATATGGTTCAAATGTACATGGCAGCCAATCAGCTTCTAACTTCAGCTTGTTTAATTAAGCTTTGACAATAAAACCTGGAAGCTGATTGGCTACCATGTATTGCTGCAGCAGATTTTGCACTCTCCAGTTTTAGTAAATCAACCCCAAGGTCTACGTCCAGCCACAATCACCATTGGTAAATGTTGGCTATGAGAACATTCCCAATTTTCTGTCTTTAGCCTGTCATTGCACTGTATGGCCTGAGAACCTGCAGCTATTCCTACTTCCCTGTCTTTCCAGACGCTGGAATATGCAGATTCTTGCCACTGGAAATCATAGAATGTGCTAATCACCCGTGTAAATGGACCATTTTAGAAAGATCTCAGAAGCACCCCTGCAGCAAATTTGTAATGGTAGCCACATACCTCTAAATGGCTTTTCCATTGCCTATCTACAGTCTTCACTATTCCAGCTCTTCCAATGGTACTTGCAATTTTGTAGATTCTGGTTCAAGCCTACAACTGGGCATTCTTGGATCTGATTTTGGTCAAACTTTTGCTGAATGGCAGAAATTAATTCTGTGGGTGGCACCATCTTGTTTGACAAAAGTCAAATTTTCAAACAATAATTTGTCAAAGGAGCCAGGCCAAAAATTCTTAGCTGACCTTTATCAGAATACTATAGCCAGCAGTGGAGATTGGTCCATCCAGGCTGTTTAGAGCGGATGAGGGAATCAAGGGATTTATCTCGTTCAGCCCAGGAGCAGGGGCGGACTGACCATTTGTAAACTAGGGCATTGCCCGAGGACCCGGGGTCAGTAGGGGGCCACATGGATGCCCCGGGTACCTTTTTCATAGACTTTTTTGAGTTTGAGCAAGGACACAGGGGCCCCATGATCCCCTATTGCCTGGGGGCCCCATGAGTTGTCAGTCCGCCCCTGCCCAGGAGTGCTTTAAAAATAACGAATATCCCAGGTGCACATGCATGTCTAAGTATGGGTGCAACCAATATACCCACAGACCAGAAATGGTGCATACCAGACTGCAAATTTGGCACTAGGATCGCCAGTGGATGGAAGAATGTGGCTGGCTATGTGGCAGGTTGTTTGTATACAGATCTCCGGATCTAAATACGATATATTCCAATAAGGGTGAACTTTGATGTTTCTTTATATCACCACTAATTTCTCAAAGATTCTACAATTTCTACCGGTAGCAACCAGTTAGGCATCAATATTTATTTTTCACAATGTACCATCTAGAATTTGATTAGTTGTTCACTTTTCCTTTTCTACAGTTTTTCAAGATCTGTAAAAAAAAAAACCCATATATATCATACAGTATATGTGAGTATTAAATACATCAATGAAAAAAAAAAAAAAAAAAAAAAACTAAGGGTCAACTAAATCTAAAATTAAAAAAAAGTTTAGTTGTGACTTGTGAACAGCTAACTGAACTGGAAAGCAATGGCCCCCATCTTTGAGCTCGTGGCACTATTGTGGTCTACTGGGGGATTAGACGTTGGGTTTATGAAGAAGTTTATAATATCCTTGGAGCAGAGAATCAGGATTTGCTCATTTCTACATCCCAAAATGTCTGTTTTTTTTTAAATATTGGTAAACTTGATGCTAAATGTCTTGTTTTCTAAATTATTTGTGCTGGGCACCACGTTGGACTGACTAGATCAGTCATTGGTCAATGGTGGGTGATTATGGTGGAATAGGAAGAAATCCCTTCCCGTAGGTTGTGCCCAATAGTGGAGAGTGGCAGTAACCCCCTCCCCCCCTTGGGGCTAGGGCTGCTGCCTTTTTGGTACCGCCTTAGAGTCCTTTCACAAGGGCGTTTGGTTTCTTTCATCAGTTCAGTCATGTTTTTTAAAAGAAAAAAATGGGTCAGTTTTTCATCAGTTTACATCAGTTTTCTACATCCACTACCAATGCCAAAAAACGGATGCAAAACTGGACCATTATTCCATTTACGTCCAATTTTTGTCTGTTCCGTTTTTTTTTTTTAATGGAACAAAAATAGGGCTTCGACCCTTTCCAAAAAACAGATGTTGACGGAGGCGGGTGGAAAAACCGATGTAAACCGAAGATCGTCCGTTTACATCTGTTTTTCCATAGGGATGCATTGATATCTGTTTTTCATCCATTAACAGATGGAAGAAAAACAGACAAACGGAACGTCTGTGTGAAAGTGGCCTTCTGGTCATTTCCACATGTAGACCTGGAAACGTAGGAAGGAAGAAGCGCCCGGTGTTCAAAGAAATGCAAGATTGAAAGTAGGTTCAAAGGTGTTAATTAAAAATAGCAACAAGTACATCAATCCAACGCGTTTCAGACGTAAGGCCTTTTAGGGCTGCTGCTGCATGCTAATAAACGGGAATGGTTCCCAAGCTGGATATATGTTTGCAAGGTTTCAGAAAGCAGGCTGACAGAGTGACCACTGTGGTTGCAGAGGTAGTAATTGTTGATTGCTGCCCCTGCAACCACTGCTGTCACTTAGTCAGCCTGAGTGACAGCTGTGCTTGGGAAACATTTCCATTTATTAGCATGCAGCCGCAGCCCTGAAGAAGGAGGAGTCCTTACACCCAAAATGCGTTGGATTTGATATACTTGTTGCTACTTTTAAAAAAAGCCATTTAACCTACCTTCAAAACACGCATTTTTTTGGACAACGGGCTCCCCTTCCCTCCTACTTTTCCCTGTTTCCTAAATGTAATTTATCATTCTTAGTAGCTATCTATATTTTCTTAAAATTTGAAGCTTCACCAGCAGTGCTTCAATACTGAACACTAGGAATTGTATTCTATTCTATTCTATCCATTGGTGTTGTACACCTGAGCATAGTGTCTCTTGAAGCCTGAAACTCAAAAAAGTACAGGAGCTCCTTTTGGGACATGGGAGTCATGCGCTTTGGCTCCAATAGACTTCTAAGAGAGCACCTAAAAAAAGTGCATTTCATTGTTTAGTTACTACTAGCTTCCAAAAAAACAAAAAAGAAAATCTGAAATCTAAACTATAACTAAAGGCATTTTTTTTTCTTTTTAGTTTTGGATAGAAAGGAGAGGGATCAGAAAACACCTGTTAGTTTTCATTTCTTTCTGTGCCCCTGTAAAGGTATGAGAGGTATCTCAATCACAGCCCACCATACAGAGCCATTTTTTATTATAGCAGTCTCAGCTGATGCTGTCTAAGCCACGCCCCAACGTATTTCGTCCCAGCTTGATATGGCTATGGGGCAGGGCGAAACACATTGGGGCTTGAGGCATAATTTAGATGGAGCCATCTGAGGCTTCTATCACTGCTATGACAAATGGCTCTGCATGGTGTGCTGTGATTAGGATACCTCTCAAAACCAGTTTGTATCTAGTCGGGACGGGCTTTCCTTTAGCCTGCACCCACAGCAGGATTCACCAAATAGGGCTGCGGAAGAGTGGAGACCCAAAGCCTTATTAAGGTTCTGTCTGTGCTCATGTTAGGGAGACTCACCCTCTCATGTGTCCTGGTTACCATTATCATTAACAGCAAA